ACTAAAAGACTTTAATATATAACAAGAGGTTCAAGAGAGATCTGGTTAGTGTTATATAACAAGAGGTTCAAGGGAGATATGGTTAGTGTTATTGGCAATCAATGACACAATTAAATATTTACCTAATCTAAACCTACCAAGCATTGATCACAGAGACCCTACACAGTAAGCACTCAACAGATTGAAGTCTGATTCGTGTTTAAGTTTGACATTACAAGTTCTGCTCAGTTTTTTTAGCAATGAATTACATACAGCAAGCATTCACTAACCCTAATTGCAGCAAACAGTCATCAACACCAAACAAGCATTTATCAGAAAAACTGTAAAGAGTTACAACAGCTAACAAGGATTTATATAACATAATTGCAGATCCAGAACTGAATCTAAAACCAGTCATAATCAACAGTAACCAAACATTTATCACATCATATAAATACTAAAGGTTGTACCTAATTCAAATCTAACCAAATTTAGCCATAAATCTAACCATGAATGTCAATTTCAGAAGAGTAACAACATGTACCAAGTATTTTACACAAAACACACATAATTTGCCATCAATGAAACACACATAATCTACCAACAATATACTAATTTCTTTGTTTGTTTTACAATTGAAATTCCAACCAAAAACATAACAGAATACACACTAGATGCTATGATTTATTTAATACACACCAAGACATGTAGTGCTGCTCACTAGAAAAAAGAAAGAGGACAAAGAATATTGGTACCTTATTGGACGGCCCCAAGACAATTTTGAGATTCCATTCTAGCCTCTGACCCGCCTTAAAGAATCTTCTCTTTTATCTTGCAGAGAATTTGAAGTAAAGAAGATTAGTGAAACAACACATGAAAGGTATGAAGGTTGATTCAGACAGTAGAGAAAGAAATAACATGAAGATCAATGCACTGGCTAAGCATCCTTTCCATAAATAACCTGAACATCAAATGGAGGTTCATTCAGTTAACATTACCATACAAAAAAAAAACCAAAACATGTAAAGAGAACAATAAAGAGATCCAGAAGCATCATAGTTCGTAAATGAAGCTAAATATAATGGTTGTAATTGGATGCAAAGAACACTAATTTAAGAGGAAAGTTGAATTCGAAAAGAAGATGAACAACCAAATGAATGATATCTATGACAAATTGAAGCTAAAATCACATATTAAAATTCAATTAAGATATCATTACAAGACTGAAGAACCCTAATTTCGATTTCATCAAAAATCTCAATTTCATTCATATGCAAAAACCCTAAATGGAATCCCTATTTTTGATTCCATGAAATCTCTATAAATTCACATAAATCTTACCATATTGGCCGATTTCAGAGAGTCCTTCAACCATCGATTTCAGACAAAATCCGATTGATTCATTCAACAGTCGGTGGAGTTGATGAGACACCACGATT